AAGTTGACGCGTGACGTCAAAACCCAAGTTGGATAGCCTATAGGCTACATTTACACAAATAACACGCACTGTGCTTTTTGGTGTTCGTTCTGCTGGAACTGGAAACCCGTGCCCATGTGCGTAATTACGCAGAAAGGATAAATGTTCATTAATGTCATTAATTTACACACAACAAAAAACAAAGGGAGATAAATTCGTATTTATCGAAGTTTTAATGATGTAATCTGAGGTTTTAAGAAAATTTTAAGAAAACATCATGTCATCCTTTTGGGGGATAGAAGTGAGGTCTTATAATTACATATTTGTGGGGAAATACTTTTTGTGGTTTCATTTTAAAGTTGTTTATCCCTCATCTGATCGAAGTGAAGGAGCTGAAAAGGATTTCCTTTAATTTTTCCCTTGAATCATTTTTCTGTTTAGCCTGCATGAGTCACATTTTGAGTGTTAGGACAATCTGCCTCCATCTCACTTCTAAAACTATTAGATTTGTGTTGCTGGAGTTGAGAACAGGAAGACAAAGTGCTCCCGACGTCTTTTCATCATTCTCTAATCTAAGTGCAATTTTGGAAAAGATAAGTTCATACGTGGCTGTGATACTAATGCAGTAGGTAGGCTTGGTTACTACCTCCCCCAAGTGATCAAAATCGTCCACTGCATGCTGCTCGTGAAGACAATGCTGGATTTCTTTCTTGGTTTTGCACCAAGCATCGCGCGATAAAACGTTTATACTCTCAATGCTTTAATGTTAGTTTAATTTGAAATAATTTCATGTTTTTCTTTCACAGGTGAAGCTGTGGTTTCTCACTTTAGGGCCCTGGAGAGATCACCACAGGCTGGAATTTCACTGCTGGTCGTCTAAAGTATCCTAAACGATCCCCAAACACCTCAATCTGAATCACTTAATCATCACCTTGTTTTATGACAGATTAGTCAATGTGAATTTTCCTCTTTGACTGCTTAAAAGACTTACAATAAACCTGTCAATCAATTCAACTTTTCCCACTTATCCTGTTCAGAATGGAGGCAGGGGCTTGTTTTTGGTGGGAGGCAGCCAGAGTGCCCACACAGATGTTGGGAGAACATTCAAAGTCCACACACAGGAGCTGGACTCAAACCCAGGACCTTCTTGCTGTGAGGCGACAGCAGTAAAACTGCACACTGCGACTCACACTCTGCTGGCACAGCAGCCAAAATACACTCATGCCAGTTACAACTTCAGGAGCACGATCCAATGACTGAGTTAGTAGCAGGTGATTCCCCCCCAAAAAAAAGAAGCTTACAGGAAACTCTGGTCCATGAGCGGGACCCATTCGGGCTTTCCGCCTCTGAAGCTGCACACCTGCCTACAATGATCTCATCTGAGATCACTACTTTGGGTAGCGGCTGGCTAACATTCCTCACTGGAACATTAAACTATGCAGTTAGTAAACTTCTGGCTCCCTAGTTGGAAAGTACAGCCCTTGTTTCTTCTCTTTGCGGCCTGTCTCATTGTGTTTCTCCTTTGTACAGCTCGTCCCTGCTTGTCACTCAGCTGAGCTGAGTGAGTGTGGAGTGTTCAGACTGTTTTTGGATATTTGGACCCTCTCCTCCCTGGAGCTCCATTGTTCTCCTGCCATATATATATATATATATATATGTGTGTGTATGTGTATATATATATGTATGTGTATATATATTACATTACACTGGTGTTCACAGTAAATAAATACACTTAGCTCGACCTTCCAGAATCCTGCTCCTGAGTCATCTCAGCCTGGTTGTGGAACAATCAGACCCTTACAGTAAGTACATTTTCTGTCTGACTTGCATTTCTGAAGCTTTAGTTAATAAACTTGTCCATCGTACTGCCCGTGCTGTTAAAGTTTGGGAAGTCAGAAGATTTTGCAGGCTTCCTGACCTCATCTCCATTCAGCATTTTCAAATAAATGAACTGGCATACGATTCAAACAACCTGAAATTAGTAGCCAACCTCATTACTGTAATGCTGGTTCTTGTGGAGAGCCTGAAACCAGAGGCTGGTAAAGCAGCAGATTTATGTCCAGAGTTTTATAATGTCAGGTTTAATTATCAGATATGGCCAGAATGGATCTACTGTTTTTATCTCTGCCAAAGAAAAATTACAAAAATAAATTTTAAACATTTAATGCATCGAAAGAAAAATTAGGTTTACCATTAAGAGGTGATAAATACTTCTTTTCCAAATTTGGGAAATTCTTGTGCAGCCGTTAAAATGATGATGAAATGAAATTAATTAATGGAATGAAATAAAAAAAAACACAACTGCTATATGCCTCTCTGTCAGACAGACATCTTGTGTTACTGTGAGGGTGAACATGCGTGTGTCTCATCATGTTTGCTCCACACATTGAAGGATCTCAGCTTCCTTATGAAACGGAGCTTTTTGTATCCAGCATCTGTGTTGAGTTTCCAGTTCAGCCTGTTGTTGATGTGAATGTCCAGGTACTCCTCCAACACATCAACATCCCAGGATAGACACGGGTGTTGTAGCCATTCTCGCTCTTATGACATCTCTCTGGTCTTTTTCACATTAAGAAGCAGATCATTTCTCCAAGACTACTCAAATAAAACCATCTACTCGTGCTCACCTACCTGTCACTAATGCATCCAAACTTTCTGAGTATTTCTGCAGGTGGCATGACTCGGAGTTGGACTGAAAGTCTCAGGTGTTCATGGTAAATGGACTGGAGACAGCACGGTCTCCTGTGGAGCTCCTCTAATGCACATGAGCAAATCAGACAGAGCTCAGTGTCATGTCCTGCGGCCTGTCTGTCAGGCAGTCGCTGATCCCTGAGATGGTGGAAATGTTTGCTGACATTTCCTGCAGCTTCTCTCCCAGTGCTATTGGCTATCAAAAAAAAAACCCCAAACTGCATCAACACCACATTTCAAGGAGCTCACCAAACATAGGCCACCATATAATAACATCTGTTAGAGAGCTATCATCTGCTGAGAGCAGATTAAGCGCATTAAGAGCTCCCGTTAACAGAAACAGACGAATGAGTCTCTTCGCCTCGACACCTTAAACATCCCTTTAACTGGCATCACACTGACGATGAATGTTGAGTCATTTTGTAATTGGGGGAAGTTTTAGACGAGAATCTAGAATCTAGCTTTTTAAAACGTTCATAAGTGAGATTTGTCCTCCCTAATGTGCTGCCTCATTTCATGATTAAAGTCATCATTGCACAACAGACTGTGTGACTTACAGGCCTATAATCATGTTGTTGCCATTGTTTGTTTTTATACAGTGGTTGAGGTTCGATCTAAAGTCATTTTTCACCCATAATCTATGATTGTATATTCATTTTACTATCATGTCTCCTCTTGGTTGTCTGCGCTTTTATTCTAAGGTGCCTCTGAAGTGGATAAATCGGATCAATGCAGAATATTTGTCGAGTGCAGTCGAGTTCTGTTTAGAAAGGTCATGTTGTTGCTTCAGCGTATTGGAAGTCACAGAGTCACAAAACTATTGAATGGTCAAGCAAACAAGTACATTAAGAAAGTATTAAGTACCAACACTGAAAAACACTTGAAAGTTATTACATGCATGTATCAGAACGTGTTGCGAGTACATACGTTTGTCTCCAGTTTCTTTATTCAGAGTTTGTTCTTTACTGACAATCAGTAGATTCATTCTTGTGATCACTATTAGATTTTTAATAATAGATTTTTCATACCGCGCGCGGTATGAAAAAAAAAGAAGAATGCTTGGACACTGCTAGAGCATAATTGACAGGTCTTTGCCCACACAAACACAAAGCAGGAGATGAAGCATCGCCAAATATGTTTCCAAACCAACTTCCTTTCAAGCCAAAGACTAGAAAATACGGTGAAGCATATCTTCCTTTGGCTTCACCTGCGCAAGTGCCGAGGTAGGTCTCTGTGACAGAATTAGTTTTCCCTGCGGGGAGCACGCTGGGCTCTCCAAATCACGGACAAACAGGATCCCACAGCTGTTTATGTTTTTAAACCTATTTTGCACAGAGAGATTTTTTGAAAAATGTATTGACAGCAATGTTGAATATTATTACACAGGAAAAAAACAACTACACGTAAAATAATCACACCGTGACGCCTCTGCCTTTGTAAATGGAGGGACAGTAACTGCGTGTAAAACCTGCAGACAGTCAGATTAACAGTATTTTGTCTCTATCTGCCATTCTGCAATTCATCTCCTGTGAACAATAACGTGGCGCACAGCGTGACGTGAAAAAAGGCACATACCTTTGACGTTGTGTGATGAACTCTGTATTCCTCGTCCACACGTAAACGCAAAAAAGGAGTTTAAAAAAATCTCCGTTTTCGGTGATTGGAGACGCCGTTTACGTGGACGAAACAGCTGCGTTTTCAAAAAATACCCGTGTAGGTGCGGACGCAGCGTAAAAGAGTCAGTAGTTTATTTTATCACTACCTGTAATTTATTGCAGATTACTTGTATTTGCTTAATTGTTTACTAAATGTTTGAGGTGTGAAATGGAGCAAAATATGGGCGTGTGTGGTTGGAGGATGTGTTGGTGCGTGTGGGTGAGAGGGGGGGGGGGGGGGCATTTTTCTTGTAAAACAAAGGGGGGACCTAGCAAAAAAAGTTTGGGAACCACTGCTTTAAAGGACTTCCACATTGACTGACGCTCTTTTACAATCTGCCTCAAGTGGCCGTTAATGGAATTGCAGTTCTGGACAGTCTGAAACACACACTGAAGCCCACTGACTTCATATTACTTCATATCCCTGAGGTTGAGCTTTTGAGCTTTGAGCTGAGCCTTTTTGGGGCAAAAATGAAACTATGACGCACTGATATGAATTATTTTAGAATTTGTGCTTTACTCTGAAAGCAGAATCGCCTTATCAGCTGTGCCCGAGCTTCCTCCACCTGTCACCGGCTGAGACCGCAGGAAATCCCATTCCAGTGACTCCAGCGTCGCTGCCGCAGTTTCACACGTCCCCGCGGGGAGAGCGTGTAAATACTGTGTTGCCAGGTTGGACAGGAATCCACCTTATAGCGGATGGCGCTCACCGTGCAGAGCTGTGCGCGTGCTCCTGCCATGCAGGCAGCTTGATGCGAAGATAAGAAAAACCGGATCCGGTTTCCGCGAAGAGCGCAAGTATCCGCTGGAACGGACTTTCCCAACGCGGCAGCGCGGAGGGATAAACGAGCCACGGACACGAGCGAAGCGCGTTTGTTCCCTGCGTGTGTCCGCGGCTGGACGGGCAGCAGGCTGACACGACTATTTGTCGCACGTCAGCTGATCGGCGCTGCTCTTTCTGAAGGCCGAAGCCTGGGATTTGGGAAAATACGCACACGCGCTTCCTCCTTCCACCTTCGCAGGATCGGCGGCTGGCCTGACATCATTGGCTGGCAGTTAGGAATGAATCATCGCCTTCCCCGGGGGGGTTCGGGGATGCTGTCGCTGTCATAGCACCCATAAAATCCCTCGGACACGCAGACCCACCCTCTGCGCTCTGCTGTTTTAAAGCCGTCTCGTCTTTGAAATCAGCATGGAGGAAATCTTGAGGAAGCTGCAGAAAGACGCGTCCGGCCACAAATACAAAGGCATCCGCGATGCCTGCGTCTACGCCTGCGGTGAGTGCACGGCAGCCCCTCCGGGCTCTTTGTCAACAGGAGGCGGAGGGAGAGCAGGGATGAGGGGAACCTGCGACTTCTCACCTGCTTTTAGCTTTTAGGAACCCGAGAGCAGCTCCTGCACTCAGCCCAGAGGCTGTGAAGGCTGAGCAAGAAGCCAGGAAATCTTTAGGACCATAACATCTGAGCAGCCACGGTGCCATATGGCTGCCATGCCCCTGTGCTGAGCTCCGCACCTGTTTTATAATGCCAAATGTCAACCTCTCTTAAAGAAATACGGTAAATGCTCCAGCCAGGCTTTAGACAATTAGATTGGATCGTTATAGAAAAATACACAAGGCAAATATTTGCTGATTCATTACTGCAATAACTTGGGAGTATTTGACAGAGACGAAGAAAGCATGAAGGAGCTTCTTCAGAGGTTTCCAGACTCTAAGCAGAAACTCTTTCCTGTCTCATTACTGTCTGTCTGCACAGTTCAGTGCTTTTCACGAGTTCTCGCCTCAGCGCGAGACACGAGCTTCACTGTGGAGGGAAATATAGAAGTAGAGGAGTCCTCCTCTGGTTTCTTTATTAAATAAAATGTAGTTAATATGGTTTAAAATGTCTTAATAATATTTATGCACTGAAGAGTTCACACACACATCACATCAAGCAATAACAAAAACGGACACACCATGGTGTCCAAGCTCCCACACTGTTTTGGAATTATTATTATTATTATAGTTGTTATAATAATAGTAATAATAATGAGTAGCAAAGTCTGATTGGGACTCCAGCCAACATCGCTTCATTATCCAGGTGGATGAATTATGACAGAAATTCTCAGAGTTGTTATGAAAAACCCAATTATCACATGAAGCTAAATGAGTTTAATGCTCCAGGCTGCAAATCTGATTGTTTTTGCTGTAAAATTGGGCCTTTTAACAAGAAAGTAAATGGGGATTGAATCCTCTGCGGTGCCAGCCTCAAGAGGACGTTAGTGGAACTGCAGTTTTTAGCACTTCTGCATCACTGTGTTATCTTTCAGTTCTGCAGGATGAGTTTTTGGAACAAGGCTGATGGCGTACAGGTACGGATACGGAGGGTCATCAAGTTAGAGCTCGGTTTGAATTCTGTCAAATAATCCTCTGAGCTTTGTTACACTTAATCCAGCAAGCTAGAAACTGGCAATGACCTTTTACAAACGAATCATGCGGCCGAACACAAATCATGTGACTTTCAGTGACAACAATGAGAACGTGCCACAGAAGCCAGAATATAAGCACACGGTGAAAAACGATTTCCACTGACGTCAGCGAGGAGACTGTTAGCATTAAACGGGTCAGCGTGGCAGGTGGAACTCATTGAAGAAGGGGTCATTGTGTAATAGTACACACACACACACACACACACACACCCACACACACACACACACACACACACACACACCTATTTGCTATTTGGCTATGTCCAAAGAAAGCTGCAGGCCCTTTCCAGGCACATGCTTGCATATACACACATGCACAAAAGGCCTGAACTGTGACTTTCCAAAAAAGATGATATCATATATCAGTTCTGTTTGCTCTTTTCTTCACAGACCGCTCGCATGAATAGAAACACGCCCACAGCATCAGTCACTGTGCAGGTCATGGTCGTCTCCGGATGTAAAGGATGCTGAACAGCCTGATGCAGATGCAGAGAACATATGTGAGAGAGTTCAGTGCAGGGACAAAGCTGCTGTTCACTAAGTCTTGGCAGACAAAGTATGAAAGCACGTGCAGAGATTTATGGCAGATTTTAGAGATGTCAGCAAGTCTCATATTTCACCTTTTAGCTGGAAAAACGTGGTACGCAGTCAGAGTTGGTTGGAAGTCTAAAGAGGAGGTGAAAATTTCTCTCTGAGCTCACCGAGGTCACGTTAGGAGGAGGATGCAGCGTGCGCTGTGAATGTTGGCCGGCTTTGAACATAATGTGACTGTACAGATGTTTTGGTGTTTGGTTTTCTTAAAGTACAAGCTCACATTTAATTCGGGGCATCCTGTTTCAGGCATTCATGCTGAATCTGTAATTTTAACAGAAATGAGTCAGCTAGCCCCGTATCTTTCAGTCAGGTGTCACGTAAATAAGATCCAATCCTGCCTTTTCTTTTTTCAGCAGTAAATCAATCTGCATTTGGTGCTGTAGTGAGTATTTGTGTCTGTGGGACTGAGTCAAAGTAAAGTGCAGTGTTTGTGTTCATGGTAATGAGAGTAGTGTCACTCAGTGGCTCGCTGGGTTCAGAGGTTGGAGGTTGTTGACATGAGAACATATTCAATGCAGAATATTTCTTCAACTGTTTCGCATGTCTGTGCTGAATTAAATGCAGCTTTTCATTCATGGATTCTCTATGAATGAAAATGCGACTTAACCACTGTCTGTTTCTTTGTTCCAATAGAAATGCTTCAGTCTCAGAATGGATCAGCAAAGATTTCCCCTTCACAGCTTCGGTAAGTTGAACATGACAGATTTTCTTCTCGAAAGCATGAAATAAAAATGTGTAATTAGAACCTGCTGACAGCCTGTGGTTTGTTTTGAAGGAGGCGTCTTCGACAGTGTGAAACGTTCCTGCCTTTAGCTAACCTGATAGTGTTCATTCATTCTCTTCTGCTTATCCTTATCGGGGCTGGTGCCTGTCCCAGCTATTATGGGGCGAGAGGCCGGGTACACCCTGGACAAATCGCTAATCTGGCACCGATAACTGAATACTGAAATCTAAACTGCTAAGAACTTTGTGGCTTAAAACATCAGTTTTCTCAAAGCTGCCTGATTTGAATAGATTAAAATGACAGAGGAGTCATTTCTGAGCTGATAATGCAAATACTGAGCGCGAGCTCTGAGCTCAGCATTGCTTCAGTTTGGACGTTTGATCGTCAGAGAAGTGATCAGTTTAAACTGCAGTAGCCTGGACACACTTACAGCTAAAACTCATCTGTTCAAATCTGCATCTTCACTATGAACTCATTGTTTATTTTATCTTGTGCTTTTGTTTATGTGTTGTTCTTTATTGTCATTGTTCTATTTTGTTTTATTCTATTGTTAAGTGTCCTTGGGTGTCTTGAAAGGTACTTTTAAATAAAATGTATTATTATTATTATTATTATTATTATTATTATTATTATTATGTGTATCTGAGGCTACTTTGACAAGCAGGATCCTTTTTGGGCTGTCAGATATACACTGTGATCATAGACTATTTACAGATAGATAGAAATATTACATTTTCTATGTAGTTTGCATTTGTATTGCTTCTTGAGTTTTTGCTTTTTATTCAATTTAGTTTAAATTGTTTGAAAATGCCTATTTTTATTTTATTTAATTTCTTTTTTGAGTTATTATTGTATAGAGATTTAGGTACATCACTACAGGTGTTAAAATAAAAACACAGGAATTTTTCAAAGCAGTTGACTCAGTAAACAAATCAGCTGGCCAGCAGGGGGCGACTCCTCTGGTTAAAAAGGCCGTATTTCCCATTTGACCCTTGACCTCAGTAAACACGTTCACTATTTTCAAATCTTATTTAACACAGTGTTATATTTATTTTGAGAGTTTGGTCCCCATCAGAATAAAAGCAATGATAGGTACAGCTGCAGGATTTTTCTTGTTATCTACAGTTTAACTCAGAGTTTTCAGTATTTTTATTATTTAAATGAGTACGAGAGCACCACAAACTAAAAGAGCTGAGAGAAAAAGCAGTGTTGATAACACCTGAGCTCTCTAATGTGAGGGGAGTTTGTGCTACTGAGTCCAAGTGCTTTTGTGCTAATCACCTTTTAAATCATTCCAAAAAACCCAGTTGGACATTTTTAGAGTTCAGTGATCTCTTGGTGGAGTTTTTTAATTAGAGGGACGCAATAATATGATCTGTCTGATTCTTGCATTCGCTGTAGTGAGTTTGAAATCTAGTAATCTGTGACTGTTTCTGTGAGTAAAACTCAGTAAAGTGTAAAGTGGATGGAGCTGCTGCTGCTGGTGGCCAGCAGCTCGTGATGGTCCCGTAAATTCCCAACACAGCATGAATTATTCACGTGATAATCTGTGTTGTTTTATTAGAGCGTATTAGATTAAATATTGATGATAATGTCTTTGTAATATAGTGCCATGATTTCTCTACTAGTGTGTTCTTCTGGCTCTACAGATAAGACTTCATGCCTGTTATCTCTGAAGGAGAGATGCTAAAGAACAGACTTGATTGACAGACTGATGGAAGATTAATTTATAATGTATTTAATTATAAATAATCAAATTCAAAAGTGACTGAGTTTGGTGTTTAAATGACAAATTCTCAATGTTTTTCACCCAAATGTTTGCCTTTTTGTCTTTTGACTTTGTTGTCTGTGTTGTTTGTTGCTCATAAATGGTCTGGTTGTGGGTAACTGCCGTGCAAACTGTGGCTCCTCACAGCCTGCTTGAGTGGTCGAGTTGTGGCAGCTCAGAGCAGCCTGAGAGCGCAGAGATGAAGCTCAGTATCCTGTAATCAGCAGCAGAGCGCGGTGACTCAACCAACCACAAATAACAAGAGGGAGATGGAGGGCGAGCGAGTGGAAAGAGAGAGGGAAGAAACGGCGGGAGAAGCAACGCAGTAGCTGGTTTACATAAAGATACCTGCGTGAAGCTACCGTGAAAAGCTTATTTAGCAAAGGATGTGGTTGCTGAGATTATTTGGGTTCCCTGTGCAAAGTTTTAAGCTTAGCATTTTGCTCGTGTGACGGGCGGATCTGACTGAGAAACCAGCTGACATTGTGAGCTCATGTGGTGTGATATGATTGGCCCACCCTGACGCATACTTTGCTTTATATCCTTCTGGATGTTATTGTGGGCCACAATTTATAAAACAGACACCATGTTGCACAGAGTGACTTGAAACCAGCAGTAAACTCATCAGGAAAGAGGTTAATTGAGCATGACCTTAGCAAGAAAACAGTGTGGCACTTCTGCAAGATGCTTTGCAACCCACCTCCAGCCCAGGTTTGATGTTTATTACAAATGTTGCTTATATGCAGCTCTAAGGACACAAGAACTAGAATGTAGTTCAACTTTATGACTTAGGCTCCCCTCACCCATCAGACGGGTTGGCCAATGAAGACTTTTGCCAGACAAGAGAAGCTCAAGTAAATTGCTCCTCCTGACTTGTTACTGTAACGATTGTAAACTATAATGCTTCGGTTTTGGAGGAGGGCACAGATTTATGATGGAGGTGACAAAGGAGACGTTCTGATAATCTGCTGATCTGTTTTCTTCTCACATCTCTGAAGTACTGCACACACAGTTTCACAGCCTTTAAGAGATATTCCACCTATGCAACATAACCATTTTCAACCACTAATCATTGATGAGAACTCATTTATTAAAAGCTTAATTTATTAACTTCCACTCCAAGATTTATTCACTCCATATTTAGCATTTTTTTCTGTTCCAAAGTCTGTGTTCGCTCACTTTATTGACACCAATCCCTGACTGCCTGTGATCGTGTCAGCTAATCTTCAGAGATTGTAGAGAGCTGTGATTGCACTGCCTGCATTACTATGTTGTGTTTGCTTCCAGAGAGCGCTGTCTGCTGCCTCTACAGATGGCTCTGGAGTCAAAAAACACCAAACTGGGACAGACTGCACTTACTGGCATGCAGGTACTGGAAGACACAAATGTATAAATAAAGGTTTTATTTATTTATTTGGATTTTATTCGTCTTTATTTAAATCTTTCTGATTGAACTCTGACACCAGCTTAAAGTGGAATGTACAAACTGAAGCTGTAGCTTTTCTCTACACAGAAACTCCTGTGTGAGGACAGGTTTGTGGGTGGAGCTAGTGTGGAGGTGGAGGCACTGGAGAAACAGCTGCTCAGCCAGATGTTGGAGGCTATCAGAGTTACCCCATCTCTCCATGAAGACTTGCAGGTGGAAGTTATGAAAGTAAGACCTGGGAATGTGTTTTTGGGGCTGAAATGATGACAGATGGTTGTACTTGTGTCATGCATGAAACTTCCAGGCTTGCGTGGTGGTGCAGCCGGTGCTGTCCTTGGTGCTGAAAATTGTTCTGTGAAATGGACTGAAAGAAGTCTACAGTTCTGAGTGCCCACACTGCTCATCATGTAGCTACGCTTAATGTGAACACACTTAAAATAGTGTCAATTTCTAATCATTTAGACCCCAAAACTGATGTTATTTTCTAACATTGACTGTATTTTCCTGGAGCACGCTCCTTAGTGCACTTAGCCTATGTAAAGTGAACCTGCTATGGTTGCGATTTCCACCTCCATATTTTATTCTTGGACTCTACTGGAGGAGGTTTGCATGATTACATGATTACTTATTGCATTATTATTGTATTATTTAATGCATGATTACTTATTATAAATAAGTATCTTATTTGGTCTTTGTACAGCTCCCATGTCATCCTTTGCCTGAAATAAGCTGGTTTAGCTCCTCCCCCTTTTGCTGTTACTGACCAGCTTTCTTCTGATTGGCCCTTGTAAATAGAATCATCGAGCCAAGAGTTGAACAAACAGCATGAAGCACAGTTTTTAGAGCAGTGTGCAACCTGAGCTTTTGGCTCACAGCTATTAATTATATATACATTAACTTTGTTTGCAGCTTTGGGCATAGTTAATATGAAAATAAAGCAGTTTAGTATGCCGTTATTTTTGTGCCACTATTCTGAGCGCACGTAAAAAAATTTGCAGGTGTTGTATTTTGAGGAGAAATTTTTCTTTGAGCGAAGAAAAGCTGAATTTGAGTGAACAAAATTCATTGCTGCGTGCAAAACATGTATTTCAGTGTTTGCTGTTATCCACACACACACACACACACACAATAGCAGCCCCTCTCGCTCAGTCTTTGCATTTGTGCTCGCTCGCAATGTGTTGCTCGCACTCTCAACATTTCTGCCCGTGCGCGCTCAACTCTTTCTCTACACCGTTATATTTGTGCCACACAACCAGCCAATCACAGACTTGGATGCAAAAAAATCGGATTGGCTGTTCTGGTCTCCAGTCAGCTCGAAATGATGAAATGCAATATCCCTGCTTATTAAGAGTGTGTTTCTCCTGTGTGCAGGTCCTGCTCTGTATCACCTACTCACCAAACTTTGACATTAATGGAGACTCCATCCTCCGGATTGCTGAGGTAGGGCAGCCTGAGACTGATGCGACTCATCTTCATAATCAGATACATGAGCTTTTACTTGGCAATAAATAAATGCATAAACAAATACATTCACAGACTTCATCGCTGTGCAGAAATTTCTTTCCTGGATTCTTTTTCCAGCTCTTACATTAAGTTTTAGGCTTTTTCTGTATTGCTGTCGCCTGGAATTATTCTGAAATAATTAGACAGACTTTTATGGGCCGGACTAAACTTGGACTGGACGGCCAAACGAGCTCTACAAAGGAAAATTCAAACATGTTAAAAAGAATTTGCATCATTTTCTGTTTAGCTTGTTCCTGCTTGTTGCCTCATGAAGCAGACTTTTTTTCATAGTACCAGCTTTGAATAGGCTGTCTCAGACTGAACCGATGATAGAGGGCGTTGCATTTTTTTTTAAGGAAAGTGAACTGTTAGCACAGCGAGCTGAACATGGATCTTTTTTTTAAAAGGTGAAGCGTTTCTGTCCTCACTTGCCCTCAAGCCTCATCTCATACTGTAATCTCATCAATTATTCAGAAAAGTGAGATGAGTTTTCCTACAGACACACAAACAAAGAGGCAGGGCTGTGCAGATGAAAATATTTGCCAATAAAACCAATAAAACTGTGACGTGCTGGAAGTACCAAGGTCTGCACCAGGTTCACTGGCTTAGCAATCTGTACAAAGCTTCTTACTCATGGTTTTTAAGGCTGTATTATCATCATATTACTGGAACACGTCTGTGTAATCATCATCAGTTTTGCTGTAATCAAGAACATCTGTTCCCAGTTCAAGCCTCAGCTTGCTTTGATTTCTGCTGAACAGTGTATTTATAATGAGCATGAGAACGTACAGCTGGAGAGACTGGATAAATGTCCAGCACTGCCTGCCTGATGACATACTGCACACGTCAGGTGGTGCCCCGGCCTTGAAGGTCAGCAGGTTCAGTTCTATATTAAACTATAGATTATGCCAGAGGTGATTATATATTCAAACTGTTTCCGTCTAATTTATCTACAAACACAATAGAGACATTAATTAAGCCCTTCTGTTTTGCTGGGTTGACATTGAATGGGGTTCAAGAGAACAGATAGCATCTTGTTTTTATTAGGAGGTGTGATCACAACTGGCTTAAAATCACAAATTCAAATATGACACATCAACCCCTTCCTTGGGTGGCACTGCACCAGATGATAATGATAATAATGATATTAATAGTAATGATAGTTACAGTAACAGTAGTAATAGTAGTGCTCAATGTTCTCAATGTAAGGAGAAAAAACAGGGATGTGCTGCAGACCTGCAGCCTGGTCTTTGAGATGTAGCTGGAGTCTCAGCTCCCGTGGGTAGTGATGATCCCTGAAATTAAACTTGGGTCAAGCTGACACTGAAGTTAATGTTTGCTCTGTGTGGAACTGGTGCAGTCTGCAAGGTTTGGGACTCCCAGGACATGCTTTTAAAATAGCAGCTGTGCTGGAAGCAGTCCAGAAGTGCTCAAGGAGACCGTTTCATTCACAAAAGTTTAAACTGGGTTGTCCGTGTTGTACAGCCACCAGCAGTAAAAACACTGATGAATAAAATTCAGAAACTTTAGAGTCATTCTTAGACTTGGTCATTCTTTGGTCTTTATAGAACATAAAGAAGTAATCCCCCGTTTCTCGATTGGTCAGGTTCATAACTTGCTCCTTGGGCTGTTTCATAATGGATGCCTCATTCAGTTTGGTTTATATTAGGTAAAACTGATTTGGAGTCATGAATAAAAGAACGGTGTCAAATCATCCCAAGACACTAATCAGTTCAATGCAAAGATTAGACTTTACGCTGACAGCTTACTGTACAATGGGACGTTTGGTTGTAAGAAAGGCGTTTCAGAACACACAGTGTTCTACAGTTCTACTGTTTATACTGAGCAGAAACGTCATTAATGTTCAGACCACCTGATCGTAGCGTGGTCGAGTGTTTTATGTCAAGTGTTTTATGTCAAATGTTTTCTGTCACGTCACTTCCCCCAGCAGCAGAAGCAACATCTCCTGCAGCTAAGTGATGTTTGACGTCCATTAACAGCTCGTAAAAACCCAGTCACCATGGCGTGTTAATGGGCTCTGTGCTGTCAGGGCTGGCCATCTGGTGTGTGAGTGTATTGTATTTGCATTGGGGCATAACTCAGGGTGGCTGGAAAGGCTGTCAGCAACACTCCATTATCATAACATCTAGGCAAATAGGGCCAGGACAGTTTTTTTCTAATGTATTTATTTATTTTAATGGAGGGATTGGCAGCGCTGAGAGATTCATGCATTGTCAAACACGGGGAGCTCAAGGCTTACGCTCCATCTCTCTAATGTGGTCATCAGTTACATGAAATCATGTAACCTGCCATACAACTATAGACACTTCAGATGTACTAGTGTGTTAACCCTCCGATAGACTGGTGTACCCAACTTCATGCCCTATGAATCCAACCCAGCTGTGGCCCTGAAGGGGATGGATGGATGGATGGATGGATATCAGCCAAAATAATTTGCTCGACAGTTAATTGCCTTATTTTAACTGTAAATAATTTTCTTGTTGCCAAACGTTTGACTCTTACATCAAACTATCACAGACTAGCTCATTAATGTTCAGTAGACCACAGGTTGTGTGTTTTTTGTCCTGTCTCCCTTTCCCCAGCTCTTCCCCACTGGTACCAAGCGCTTGCTCATTGGGGGTCATCTGATTGTTAAGGTTGTGTTATTGTAGGGTCTTTACATTACATATATAAAATGCCTTGAGGTGACTGTTGGGGGGATTTGCCACAAATAAAGCTGAAAATTGAAAGCTGACTACAGGTTGAACAGGTGGCAACAGTTTAGTCATTCTCAGACTCAGAGACTGTAAATAAAAAATGGATTTAGCCACCATACTGTTACTTGTTAGTTCGTGCAGCCTCTGTCGCTGTCGCACCTATATAATTTATAGGTGCCGCTTATTTGTGTTAGCCTGTAGCATAGCACTTTATCCCCTCGTCAAAAATATGGTCACTTTAGTTTCAAAGTGCTAATACTAATACATCGCGGTGTTTCCCCCCATCTTTTATATTCAGTAGGTTGTTTTATAGCAACTGACCAGTGCTACCTAGAGGCAAAATAGGAATATGAGTATTTTGTTACCGAGGAGCTTTATTGATCTGTTGTTTTCTTCTTGTTTGTGGCTGTACAACACAAGCTTTTAGCTTTTAAACGTTGTATAAATAAATGTACCCTGTGCATGTACTATATGAACCCCACATTATGTAGGTTCTAATATAACCCTCAGACATGTTTGTACTTACACTAACTGGCAGTGCTTTAAAAAACAAGGTGGAGTATCGATTGCTTGCAGGAAGTGTGAGCATTAAAATTGAAGGAGCCGGAGCAACTCTTAATTCAAGAGGTACCTTGAGGTTGTTCCTTGCTCTCTTGTCCCTCTCACATGCATATTCATCCCATCTGTGAGTGCCTTATGGTGCAGGATGTATTGGGTTTTTTATTGATTGGGAGCAGGTGGTGTAAAACATCCCTGAAGCTGCCAAGATTTCAAATGTAATTAGCAGATGTGGTCTTTGTTTAGGCTCTACGTGAGGTTGGCCCTGGTAGTTCTCAGCCCCTCTGAGCTCACAGGATGGAACAGAAATTTGATAATTGGTCAAATAAATCTTGGCTTACACATTTTGTTATCAACAAGCTCTGTAGCTCTTCCATTAAACCCCACTCTTGGATTAAGAATTGTTATGTGATTTGGATTTCTGTACTGTGTATTTGGGCGATATCCCATCAGCAGCCTCCTTAAGGGACAAATATTTGATAAACATCCTGTTGGGAGCGGGCAAAAAAGCACTTACCAGGAGGTGGCTGGAGAAAGAGCCCCCAACAAAGAAAGATAGGATAGGAATAATGGAGGAAATACATAGAATGGAAAAACTTACATTTTCTTTGAACCACAAAATGGACCAATTTCTTAAAATCTGGAGGAAGTGGGAGAGATTTGTTGTAGGTGGTAATGTGGGATGATGGGTGGTGGGTTATATAACCAGAGCTTAACTAAGTATTTTCACACAACTACTGGAAGAAGGAAGGCCTGCTAAGGACGTGGTCACTGTTTTTTAGAAGGCAGGTCATAAAAGAGACTGGAAATAGCCTTCCATCAGGGATGGACTGTAAAGCGCTGCGTGGACAGTAGCAAAAACCTGACGACATGGGACCTGTAAAGAGGTGGAGGGGAGCTCCCCCAGACCGGGCTGGTCTGACGGTTTCACTGTGCCATTATGTTATTGTCAGTGCGTATTATGTTTGTTTGTTTGTTTTTTTGCTGTTTTTGTTTTTTTCATGTGAAAAAAAAGAAGAAAAAAAAATTGTTATGTGAATTAAGATCTCCATTGTTTCTAAGGTGCCCAGATGTGACAGACAATATTTAGCAAAAATGCTACAGAAAATAAAATACTTGGAATTCCCTCCTTAATTCTATATGAAATAATTGTATTCATAATGTCTGTTTTTAATTTCATGTAGAATAAGCGCTATGCTTTACTGTGACATTAGCAAACCAGCATTCATGCTTCCTCCCTGGCTGGTTCAGTCCCAGCAATCCAGGAACAAATGAATACCCTAGGATAGCATTTTATTTTGAAGGAGAAAAGAGCCGTTTTTTCTGTACTCGTCTCTTTCCTGTCATCTCCCAGCGAGTCACAGGAGTCTGCTGCACCTGGTCACAAAAAAAAGTTTCAGAGTATGGCATTAATCAAAGCAACGTGTGAAAAACCCCTAACTGTACTCCTGGGATACAGTGAGATATCCCGAGAATACGGTATAGTTGATTTTAAATGCAAAAAGCAAAGCGGGAAAGCATGTGTTATAAATGGCTGTGTGTTTGTGTGTGTGAGCGTGTATTCATGTCTTTGTGGGGACTAAAAATTGTACGTTTTCTATACTTGTGGGGACCAATATCCCAGTTCCCACAAGTGAAAATGTCAAAATGGGGTTTTAGTGTCAGGGTTACAATTGAGTTCGGGTTAGGCATTCATTTATCATGGTTAGGGTGGGTGGCTAGGGAAAGCGTTATGTCAATTAGATGAATACCCGATGTGTGTGTGTGTGTGTGTGTGTGTGTGTGTGTGTGTGTGTGCTCAGCTACTAGCTAACGTCTGTCTTACCTTCCACAGATGCACAGTGTTTACTCTGTAACCTTCTAATCTGCCTGAAAGATGTCTGACACTGACAATACATCCCCTTGCCCCTGCTGCTCTCTTGTCTGGTTACCATAGTAACCAGTGACGCCATGGAAAGCTCCTATGAATCTGTCCAACAGTTCGGTGTCTGTCTGTGATGGTTTCTTGGCACAGTGCGTCATGGTTTTTCTGGTTTAGTGACATAAGAAAGACCACACACTGACAGATGTTCGTGTGTGTGTGTGTGTGTGTGTGTGTGTGTAGGTGTGCATCGAGACCTACATGTCCAGCTGTCACCAGCGCAGCATCAACACGGCGGTGAGAGCCACGCTGAGCCAGATATTGGGAGACCTGACGCTACAGCTCCGCCACAGACAGGAGGTCACACAATACTTTAATTATATACACACAGATATATTATACAGATGTATATGTGCACACATTAACTAGTAGAAAATTACAGGTAGATAAAAGCGTAACGTACAGTACCGCATTTGTTTTGACACAGAAGTGACAGTAAGCATGCCTCCTGTGTGTGTTCCTCTCCAGGGTGCAGATGGAGACGAGGTGACTGCACCGCCGCTGCAGAGACGAGGTACATCACTGCCAGGGGTTTCTCTCACCTCTGCAGCTTCCTTTGTCAGCTGTAGGGATGTACTTCTCACCTCCTAATATGTAATATTGCATATGAGCACAGCATTTCACTGCCTAATATCTTACTATGAATGCTGCAGACAGGACCATTGTAGGGTATGAGTGTCCAGCAGAGACTAAATAAAAGATCACTCTGACCTAACAGGAAGCTCCCTGATTGCCAGTCCCGCTCATGTTCACGCTGAATTGGCCCCTGCAGTACACACAATAAAAACTTTTTATTCTGGTCAAAGCAGATGGCTGCTCCTACCTGAGTCTGGTTTTCTTGAAGGTCTCTTCATGTTAAAAGGGAGTTCTTCTTCCCCACTATCACCAAGTGCTTTCTGAATGCTGGACTGGGGACATTGTTGCCCATTTTATGAGTGGCATGTGAAAGTTAAAGCATCACTGGTTGGTGGAGGCATAGAGACACTAGTTTGGCCCAGCAATGGTGAAAATGTCCAAGTTTAGCTTCTTGTGTGAGTTCAGCATTAAAGCTTGCGAGCCACTGGTGGCTGTGGGCTCTTCGTCATGTTTAGTGTGCATAAAGCCACTGTAATCACCAATCTGCTGGTAGTAAGAAGCAACTTCGGAGAGAGACTGGCAGGGCTGCTTTTATGATACCATAAACAGTCAAATGCACTGTTTCGATAGATGCCTCTGCAGGCAGAGAGCCAAACAGGTTCCAGTGAGGGAACTGATTTATTCTGCTTCTTAGAGGGGAAACTGAGAGAGAGGAAATTGGGAAAGCAATGATTTTTTTTTATCACTTCATGTACATAGTGGCGAATGATAAAGCAGGAACCACAAATTAACCTTTTTATGGTGTGTGCGTGTGGGGGGGTGGCTTTTTGCAGATATTTCTCCCACCAGCCAAGCTCTGTGTGAAGATGTGGTCACGGTTCTGACCGTTTTCTGTGAAAAGCTGGAGTCAGTGGACAGGTAACGCTGCAGATTCTCATTGACTCACTAATATTCTGTTATATTTCTCTTGTCTCGATATGGAGGTGATAATTCAGTCAGACTGATCCAAACACAGAAACAAAAACACAGATGTATGATTTTGGAGCAAAGGATGGGCCGACGTCACTGATAATCACTCTGCTTTCATTAGTGTTTCATCTCCTTTCAGTGTAAGTAATGAGAACAAACATGAAGGCGCCCAGGAAAAGGTTGAAAAACTGCACATAGTTTAGCTGCTGTTTAGCTCATTCGTGTGGTTTCGTTTTAAATGTCAGCTTTACCACATTAAACAGTGTTTGCATGTTTCCTCTGCACTTCCATGGTTTCTTCCTGGAAGCTTCCTAGTTTAATACAGTAACCATTTCTTTATTTTAATCTCCCAGTGATAACCAGCTCCTGCAGCTACTCTACCTGGAGTGCATCCTTTCTATGCTCAGCAGCTGCCCTCCCACAATGCACCTCTTCAGAGGTTTCACAGACCTCGTGTGGTAAGACTCACTGAGTAAAATTTCATCAACTGGTCCCTCACTGTTGTCCTAATTGGAGTTGATTGTAGTCCGATGTAATCAATAAAAATCGCTAATGTTCCTCTTCCCAGGAAGCAGCTGTGCCCATCCCTGGTGGCAATCATGGGCAATCCCGTCAATGACAAAACTATTGCTTCCCACCACGGCTACTCAGCAGCATCAGACCGAGACCGCCTCTCAGAGAGACTCAGTTTAGGTAACTGAATTTACTAAAGAATCCGCTGTAGGAGGCGGTCAGTTTGTCTGTTTTTTTGCAACAATTTGAAAGCGAATATCAGTGGAAATTAATCTCTATCAGGAATTCAAGCGCCAAGAAAGGGGGGAAAATCAATACCTAATTACTGATCGCTCATAAACGGAGCCTGATGCAGCTATGAAGATCACGACTGAAGCTAACAGTGTGAAAAGTGTTGGTTTCCACTCACTGCTGCAGGAGTTTAAGGAGACATGAGTTCTTATAGGAGGAAGCTTTCTATCAGCATGATTTCATGGGTTCAGCTTCATGCCCCTCTTTGTTTTGTTCTCCCAGGAATGGGCCAGGAGGTGGACTCCTCCTGCGGAGGACTGTCCGATCAGGGCAGAGGTTCTGGCTGCTCCTCTAGCGCCCCTGCCAGGATTGCACCGGTAGTGCGCACAGTTTGCTACATTGCAGCAGAGCTGGTGCGTCTGGTGAGCTGCGTCGAGTCGATGAAACCGGTGCTCCAGTCGCTCTACCACAGGATCCTCCTCTACCCTCCTCCTCAGCACCGCACCGAGGCCATCCGCATCATGAAGGAGGTGGGACAAAGACATTTCTCTACGTTTATAATATCATTTTTCACTGACAGGCAGCCTTTTGCTAATCTTTATTCAGCAAAGTTTTCACAAGTACCTCCGAGGATCATGCAATCGAAGGGGTCCAGTAACAGTTTGACATTTGGGATAACCTGCCTGCATATGTTTTTAGAGCCATGTGAGCAAAAGCTTTAATGCTTTCGTCTGTGGCAGATTCTGGGCAGCCCCCAGCGGCTGTATGACCTCGCCGGTCCCTGCATGGCTGAGCCTGAGACCAGGAAGCGATCATTCTCAAAGAGGAAGTCCCACCTGGACCTGCTCAGACTGTTAGTAACTCCTAACTTTGTTCACTTGGTGTTTGCTCTGTTTCTGAAATTTAACAACCTGAAATCTGTCACCCAGGGATGTTTGTCCGTACTCTTTGTTTTGCTGCACATTGTTTCAATCGTCACTCGGTCCAAATTAAAGTAGAAATCAAAGTAATGTGTTCGCTCACGTCATTTGGCGATCAATCCTATACTGAGCTGTTTGTTTCTGCTTCCCGTGGCAGAGTGATGGATGGGATGACAGAGGCTTGTATGAAAGGAGGCATCGAGGCGTGTTACTCCTCCGTGTCTTGTGCCTGTGCCCTTCTCAGCGCACTGGATGAGCTGTCACAGGGCCGTGGCATCCAGCCTGAGCAGGTATGCAGACAACACACGGAACCACAGCATTAAAGGGCCATTCTGGGGTTTAACGTATTACTTATTTAAGTAGCACTTTTGTGCATGCAAAGGGTTTGGATTTAGTGTTCAGGCCAAAAGAAGGTCTCTATGTCACTGTGTAACCCAGTGATACTTAATGCATTCCTAGCAGTTAGTTTGACAGCCCTCAACCAATGAATGAGCAGCTCTCTCGGTGGCCGTCCATCATTAAAATGTTTGTGGGATTTTGTTAACAAGTGACAGCTCTTGGGTCTCTGAATCAGCACAATATGGGCTCTGGTGTTGATTACGTATAAAACGGTAACATAGCTGCGCTCTCCAGGCTCGGCTTCTCCTCAGACGACTGGACGATCTGAAAGATGGAACCGAGTCGACACGTGAGTCCATGGAGATCAACGAGGCTGACTTCAGGTGGCAGAGACACATCCTGTCCTCAGAGCAGCCTCCGTGGGACCCCAGCTCGTCTTCCTCCAATGTGGCCACCACTGGCACCACTGAGCGTAGCCCCGACATCAGCATCAGCATCACCACGGAAACGGGCCAAACCACCCTGGATTTAGAGGTGGGAGAGCTCGGCCTCGCTGTGGGCCACACCAGTCCGGAGGAGTGTGGAGAGGACGCTCGTCTCCCTTCGCCTTCTTTCTGTGGTGATCAGGAGGAAACCAAACACGAGCCGATCCCCGTGCCCAACCAGGGAGGCCAGAAGGAGGAAGGAGGGGTGCCCACAGGGGACGTGGAGGGAAGAGGAGAGAAAGAAAGAGGTGGAGGCGGAGAGAGAGGAGGTGCAGTTCCTCCAGATGTGGTGCAAAGGAGTCACGCCCTCGTCTACCCCGACATCACGAACTTCCTGTCTGTGGAATCCAGGTCTCGGTCGCACCACGGAGGAGGGTCACGATACAGCGAGAGCAACTTCAGGTACTGCTGTTTCTCTAGTTGCTGAATTGAAATGATGATAAATAGTAATTAAGTAAAGAAAGAATATATAAATAATAAAAACAATCTCATGCTTCTTCCTGCTGCCCACCAGCATGGAGGAGCAGGACCTGTCACGGACAGAGTTTGACTCGTGCGATCAGTACTCCATGGCTGCCGAGAAAGACTCGGGGCGCTCTGACGTCTCCGACATCGGGTCCGACAACGTGTCGCTGGCCGACGAGGACCAGCAGTTGTCCCGCGACTTCCCAGGTCACCGCTCCCTGCGCACTGCCGCCCTGTCCCTCAAACTGCTCCGCAACCAAGAGGCTGACCAGCAAAGCGCCAGACTGTTCGTGCAGTCTCTGGCTGGACAGCTGCCCCGCCTGCTGGGGATGTCCACTGCCACGGAGGTGGACATGTCGCTGCAGAACTTCTCTTCCACCTTCTGCTCTGGACTGCAGGCTGGTGAGTGAGGGGAGAAGGGAGGGAGGTTAGATTTACTGCAGTGGAGTGATTCCTGTTCTGCGATCTGCATGAGTTTGCTACTCAAACACACACATATTTGCTCAGGGAGGAGATGGTTCTCCCTGTTTAAGTAAATATATTACACTGCAGGCATGCGCTGGGAATATCAGAGTGCAAAGACAAGACAAATCTCTACTACTGCAAGAACTCAATGACAAGGAGACACGCTAGTTTAAAGAATAACATTTATTGTTTATTTTTTTCTACAGTAGATGATCTAAATGCTGAGGTTCTCAACATTTTTGTGGTCATGGTTAAATTACATTTTCCAAAGGCCCCTTCCCAGTCCTAGCACACCTTTAGTTGGTCTGATTAATAAGATTTCCTCACGCTCACGAACAGCTGCTGTGATTTCACAGCAGTCCTAATGCAGAACATGTCTGCACAGCTGACGGAGGGTGGGTGCTTTGGGGATAAAAACTCTTCAGAAGAACAATTACGTGGAAATGCCACACTGCCTCGCACACTCCTGGAACATTTATGATATCATGTTTCAGTCTGTCAACCCATCAATCAGGCAAATGAGCCCCATCTCCTTATCCCATCGTCCAATCAGAAGACTGCTGAGATTAGTCTGACTAATGAACACCTTGGCTGCACATTCATTCAACCAATTAGCAGAGTTAGTGACGTCACAATGCACAGGTTCTCATGCTAATGCAGTTTTTTCTGCTTCTGTGAGTGGCTCTGTTACTGCATTTTATATTTATTTACATTTCTTTTCATTTTATTTGACCTCAAAGGTGATTATTTTTTGTAACTGAGCGAGGTAATAAAAATCTTGCTTTGTTGGATGCTATTAAGAAGTTCATTCTTTGCTGAATCACTGTTAGTGCAAACAGTCATTTTCTAGCCGTTTGCATAAACAGCTAGCTTTTCCAGCTTTTTAGCTAACACTACTTAGCTTTTAGCTAATGCTAGCTCCTCTGTAAGCCTGTTTCCTGTGTCTTGACTGACAGGTCTGTAGCTTCTCACTGTTGAAGGTTCTCCTGAGCTCCTCCATAAATACATGAGATTGAGAAAAGAGTCTTAAAGAGTTTTTTGGACACAAATGCTTTTTTAAATTAATGTACAATATATATGCATTTTCTAAATCACTCTAAATTTGATGATTTAGAAATCAAGACCATTACCTGTGGGGTCGGGGAACTGCCAGAGACTTTCCAGCCTGCCTTGTCTTATTTTTTTCTAATTTCTTTCAAGCCCATCTGTGTTTTTACCTCCTTATAATTAAAACAATAAAAGTTAAAGAAGATGTTTCTGTTCTTCACACCTTCAGAAGTTAACTCTGGTTGTTCCTTCTAATAGATAATAGTGACAGTCGGGGTACCTGAATGGATGCAAAGCTCTTTTCTTTGAAGTTTCAGTAAAAATCAGCTGTAGCAGAAAATATTGCATCTCAAATAAACAGCATAACTGTGTAGTGGAAGAAAACATCAAGCTTCAGATGCGGTTTTCTGTATGTGTGCGCTGCTTTGAGGAAACCTGGTAAAATATTCAGGAGCTTAAATGAGTTCACTTTCGGTTTCTGGTGCAGATTGGGCTTCCTCTCTGTGGCGGTGTCCTGTGTGGGTCGTGGGTGTTGTTGTTCTTTCATAAACTCTCTGGTCTTGTTCCATGCTTGTTTTTAAAACCTCTAAATGGCTCGAATATGTGATTAAAATCCCCGTAACATTGTTGTGTAATGTTTCTTTTGCAACAGATTTGGCAGGCGGTACTTCAGATTAGTTTTTTGTACTTTTTTATAAGAGCATCAGTTTATTATCAGTTTATTATCAGTACAAATTTCTGTTCTGACTGCGGTGCGGTAACGAAGACCCTCTTGTATGCACAGGTCGCTGACGTCAGGGTTTTGCTGGTATGGATTTTGCTTTTTCCTGTTATTTGTCATCGGTGTGTAGTTTAAATGCAGTACGTTTATTTTCTTACAGTTATTAAAGAAAACTTTTTGCCTTACAGTCATGACATCCATCGCTAAGAGCAGCAAGCCTGCTGGGAGTTTTTACATCAGCAGAGCAAAATTATGACTTAAATGAAATGTTACGCTCAGCTGACTTAATGAAATAGTTTGGACTTTAAATCCCCAGAGCAGGTTTTTGATTAAAACACTTCAGTCGCCTTCAGCCAACAGATTGTATCTCGCTGCCTGCTCTCACCTGCACACTCCCTTTCATTGGCTCTCTCACTGTCTCCGTTTTCTTTCTTTCTTTTTCACTTGTGCTGTAGGTGTTATTAATTCATTATAATCCGTCACATTTGACCTCTGAGAACACCGACACGTCCTCTACAGATGTAATTGGTAATCCTAAATCTGTGTCCCTGCAGGCGGCATTCACTCCCCAGGTTTTGAGACAGGCGACACTCTGAGCTGCCAGTCTCTGATGAACGCAGACGGCCTTTACCTGGTGTCTTACTACGCTCTGCTGCTCAATCTCAAACTCTGCTGCTGCGGCTACTACAAGCGGCGAACGCTCACGCCCGTCCTCAGCCTGGTGAGAGCGAGATTCGTTTCCTCTGATCAGTTTTCTCCGGTGTTTAAAGACAAAGATTCAAAGATAAGAAGTAAAACCAAACCAATGCAACTACATCCTGTAGTTTCAAAGAATCCTCTTTGTGCAGCATTGCTTATTTAAAGGTATAGATGTATCTTTGTGTTCCTCTAGCCACACAACCACCCAACTAAATACTGAATCAGCTCTACTTAGACATTTAAGCTACTTCAACTTTATCATCAAAAGTACAAGGAAAAAAACAAAACTTCCCGCCCTGAATATAACAGCACTGAATTGGATGCAGTCACACTGAATGGGTGGACGTTTGTTCTGTTGTGCAGAAGGAGTTTGTGCGTCTGATCCAGAGCAGCGGCGTCCTCGTGGTTCTGTCTCAGGCCTGGATCGAGGAGCTTTACCACCAGGTGTTGGAGCGCAACCTGCTGGCTGAGTCTGGGTTCTCGGGTTCTTCAGAGGACCACACACTGCCGCTTATCACCATGCTGACAGGTACACACACACACACACACACACACACCTGTACAGTTTCTACGTGCTCAGCTAGTCTCCACACACTGGCTCAAAAGGCCTCTCCATAACAAGGGAAAAATATTGATTAAGAGATAAATGAAGCAACAGTATTTATTATGAAAGGTGCAAAAGAGTGTGTGTGTGTCTTAGCCACTGAGAGAGCCCCTTATGCTACACTACACTGTCCAGGTGGCTTCAGATGACTGACAGAGAGCTCCCCCTACAGGCCTCACCAGCTGAGCGCACCGCCCTGCCCTCCTCTGTCCCCAACACTACGCAGCTCCCTCCAAACTACCTCCAGCTCATCCTCAGTCGTACTTGGTGCCCATCATCCAGATTATTACGATCAGTTTAGGTGTAGGACTAAATGACACAGACAGAAAAAACCCAACATAGTATTCACACAGTAGCCCACATAAACCTACCCTTAAATTCAGCTTGTAGTTCACGCCACACCATCAGTTTCATTTTACTTAACAAAAAGTCCCAGTTAAAAACATCTTTTGCTATCCTTGACTGTATCATCTCCAAATAAATTATTTGTTCCTGCAAACAGGGACCTGGTTAAATTCTGGTATTTATAGTAAAGCCTATAATTGCTCGCATCATCTCCACGGGCAACTTTTTATCTGTTCAGTTACTGAGCTTTTCTATTAGCTCTGTATGTTAATCCATAGACCTCCTAAATCTGTGTCTGAGTTTGGATAGTTTCCTCAGGGCTGCCTGCAGCACAAAAGGTAGAGCAGGTCATCTGCTAATTGAAAGGTTGGTGGTTCGAGCCCTTGCTGCTCCAGTCTGCACGGCAGTGTAGAAGATACAGTGAAGATACTGAACCCCAGTTTGCTCAGACAGACTTTGGGATTTATTATATGCAGAGGGTATAAATTCAAATACTTGACATGTTGTGACTTCTCTGTTCCTCGTCTCTTAGACATTGACGGCTTGGGCAGCAGTGCAATCGGAGGTCAGCTGATCAGGAGAGCGTCGAGCCACGCGCCGCTCGGCTGTGAAAAGCCGTGCAGTGACGCTGTGATGGCAGGTCAGTAGCACTTACTGAGAACGTAGTTAACATTTAATTCTCCTCAGTCAGCAGCTCTTCATTCACAGGGTTTTCATGTTTGGATTATATTTCTGGGGAGCTTTACTCGAGTTTGCTGAGCCCGTAATTGCTACTAAAGTGCTGCGCTGGTAATCAGTACAAACCACAACATTAGCAGAAGTATCTCAGAGCAGAGCTGCATGGTCAAGACATGCAGGTTTTTTAAAAGTGTTGTATTTACTGGTGCATTCATGATTGCAAAACATAACAGATGAACATTTGTAAGTTTCATGTCCTGCTGCAGAGTCGGTCTGCAGGAACGTTGATAGGAAACCTGCAGGTTTTAAATATAATCATGCTTCAGTGATGTTGTGTGTTTGGATTTGACCTGCTGTAACTGAAAGAGCAAGAAGCTGCATTGCAAACGAAAGATGAGACAAGCTGGGGGATAAAGGGTAGCTGGGTAGAAAGAGGGCAGTGAGCACCTGTGCTGTTTCCTGCAGGATTAAGCCAGACTCTAACTGCTGCTGGCTGACTCACCCCTGACATTTATGCTCATCTTGTGTGTTTTGTGTGTGTCACCATTTAAAAAACCGACCCTTTTTTTTTGCTCTGTGTTTTTCAGGAGCTGTGTTCTCACGCTTCATCCTCACCGGTGTTTGGAAAAACCTGATCGATGTTCTGTCCACACCGCTGACTGGTCGCATGGCGGGCAGCTCCAAGGGCCTGGCCTTCATCCTGGGGGCAGAGGGGGTCAAAGAGCAGAGCCAGAGGGAGAGAGACACCATCTGCCTGAGTTTAGACGGCCTGCGTAAAGCTGCTGCGCTCAGCTGCGCCCTGGGTGTGTGAAGCATGTTTCATGTGCCTGTATTAATAAGACAAATGCATATCATCTTCTCTCATCCCTGTGGGGGAGGATTTGTGCTCCCTCCCTATAGCACAGGCAAAGGTCAGGATTATTCACTAGACATCTGTCCTACAGCTGGAGCAGATTCTAGGTATGTACAGTATGAACAGTAATTTCTATTAGCAGCTCAGCAGCCACTCAGCACTGTTTTTAATCAGCACGTCCTGTCGCAGCTCACTAAACTCGAGGACTGATTTATTTAGGGGCCTGAAGAAGTGCAGTGTGAAACATGTTGTAAACGCTTAATCCAAATATATCTGTACTGTGGATTCAAATATTACACTTATATCACAGCATGCACACACAGATGTTTTGACTTGGCCAGTGTGATTTCTTCTTCACGTGATTTGTGTCACAGTAGTAATATGTTATAAGATAGGAGATAACATGCTAAAGATACGAAACATTGTGCTAAAATATTTCTACTTCAGATTATTTTCTGCAGCAGTTACATCCTCTCTTTCTTTGTTTGGTATTTAGCTGTAAAACATTTTCCATCACTGGTTTAGCATTAAGACAGTTAGCATAGATAGCTTATAAACGTCCTGAGGTTTCAAAGCTTGATGTAATTAAAACTAAATAACAGGGGCCCTAGAGTTGAGCCGTGTGGGACACCGCAGGAAAAAGCAAATGGACACAAAGACTCCGGCACAGACGGTGAAACCTTTGAGATACGGTTCAGTATGAATTTGGTGGAAGAAATACAGAAATAAGGTCTCGATGTAATAAGATAGAACAATGAGCTGCAAGTTATTTGGCCACAACCTTCAGAAGTAGAAAGACTGAACTGAAATGTCTTTGTTTTCTTCTTCCAGTCAGCAGAATAAGCACGAGAGAGCACCGGGGAGGACTTGCTGTCAGATGGCTTTATTGTTCACTTTTAGCCACAGTAACTGTCAGGATGGCAAACACTCACAAGACTGCACAAAGGAAGTGAAAAAGGTTCAGACTGTAGAGGCTGTCAGAGGCAGACAAAACGCTGTTATTCTAACATGGAGTTTACTGCCCTCGTGTGAGCTCAGACCCTCTCAGCTCCCGCCACAGCACAGGTCTACTTACACAGAATAATTGAGAACTGAGGGTTTACACAGCTTTTAATTGATATTAAACATGTTTTGGAAGCTTATGGGGTCACGGGGAAATGCAGTCACACTAATGAAAACCGCTTGACACGTGACTTTTTAAGCGATTAAGCACTTTAAACTTTCCCGTTAGAAGTCCTGGACATTCATTGAACCTGAATAGTCGTCTGAACCAAGTGCCAGCGGCCTTGTGGCTGGCCTGCCTTAAAGCTCTGTCCCATGTTTTTAGCTCGGGGATCCTTTCGTTTCCACCTCGACGTTTGGCAGCCACTGAAAAGGGACACCAGAATAACACCAGTGTGCTGAGTGCAGATTAGTGTTCAAACGTGAACACTGGGCGAAGCTGTCAACCATAAAAATACGAGACACAGGTGCTGTCAGGGTTTCAGTTAACGGACTCAGGCGCAGACCGGGACTCCTTACAGGATTTACAGATTTTATTTACACAACGACACCAGGTGAAGCTATTTACAAAGTGCTGGAGGGAGGGGAGGGGGGTCCAGGGTTCCGGGGTATGTGAGGGAAGAGACGGGAATCTGACGTCCTCCAAAGGCTCTCTCTCTTCGCTCCCCACACTGGGGAGACACCATCCACGCACTCGTCCACGGGGATGACAGGCAGGCAGGGAAAGGATCCGGGTTAGATCTGTACACAGAGATAATGGTTAGAGGCGAACAGACGGAACGAACTCACAGATCCTTATTATAATCTACTGAGCGACTGACGCTGATAACTCAACGATCCAGCGAAGACTAGTGCAGACTCGCCATCTAAGTAGTGCAGTCATCAGCTGGGATCAGCGGCCGGTGTGGTGATGAGCAGGTGTGTGGGCCAGCAGCGGGAGCCCGCAGTGAGCATCGCCGTGGCGAGAGAGAGAGAGAGTGAGAGAGAGGGCGAGAGCGAGAGAGCAAACAAACCACAAACATATTGCCCAATAGAGGATTGACCAGCGGGGCACAGGGACCATGACAGGTGCTTCCTTAAAACGCTCCAGTTTTAGGCTCATTTTACATTTCATCTGGTCTCAGTTCATTTTACACACTGAATGCAGCAAAGACGATGACTCTCCTCTCTTGCTGGTCTAACTTTTCTCTTCGTGCTGGAAGTGCAGACTGGAGGCCACGTCGTGCCCAGTTTTACTTCATACTTTGACATCGTTTCAACACAGCGTGCACGCCTTTTTGATTTAAGTCATGTCAGTTGTTTCTTCACGTTCTCTTGATAACTTGAGTCCATGAGGGCTTTAAATGATCTTTCTAATAAGCACGTTTAAACCATAGAGGGAGATGAATCTGCTGTTGATCATCTGTACTGTACCATGCTTCAAACGTATACATTTAAATGTAAAAGCAGAAATTATCAGTAAAGCATTTATTGGGCATTTCATAGTGCCTAAAAATCCCCTCATGGTACTGTAGGCTTTTAATGTTTCTGCCATACTTTGAGCTTTGACTCGTACTCACACGGGGAAGGTTTTGCTGAGTTCTGATTTTCCTTGTCAGCTTCATTATGTATCACATTAATCAAATTTGACACCAGTGGCAGGTGCCCAATAGCAGCCAGCACCTGTTCGACGCTGTGCAGCTCCTCTGGAGGTTAACTGCGAGTTTTACTTCCAAAATGTTAAATGCAAGTATTACAGAGGATGTCAGGGGAAATGCAGTTTACTTATCAACCGCTGTCAGATGTCTGTGAGTATCACTAGCATTAAAGGGCAGTGGCACATCCCTGAGGCCTGCATGGGAGCAAATCAGATTGAAATTAGTGCAGAAGGACTAATGAATATGAATGAACACATGGCGTACGACCTCCTCTGTGTTTGCAGTTGGCACGTTACAGTTTGTGTGTCTCCAGTTAAAATTTTAAACATGTACAGTAGAAATCCAGGAAATCTGTGAAAATGTCTCATTGGTAGATTCTGAATATGGATGATGGCTGAAATGTTGCATTTTTAATGTGCAGGGATGATGTTTTGTGGATGAATGAAACGGCACGTCTTTACTTTGTGTGTGTGTGTGTGTGTGTGTGTGTGTGTGTGTGTG